CAGGACGTTCGGCGGGGTCTCCTCCATCTTCAAGCCGTCCAACATGCCCCGAGGACGGGCAGCGAGCTGCTTCCCGATTCCCCTTTTGGAAAGGGGGAAAAACGGGGGCGGGGGCGGCGTGCCGGAAGCGAGTCAGGCTGGGGGGTCCCGCCTGCCTTCCCGCCGCCCCCCTCCTTTCCCCGACGGCCGGTGACAGCTCCCGAAAAGGGGCGCCTCGGCTCTCCTGCTGCCAGGCCGAGAAAGGTGGCGACCGAAGCTGCCACGGCCAAGGAGGGGTCAGCCGAGAAAGGCAAGCGGTAGAGGGGGCGCCCGGCTGCCTCCTGGTCTGCCTCCCCCCCGACCTCGGCCCGCGGCGTTTTCTGTGAGCCGGGGGGGGGGAACCCACCCGGCGCCCGAGGGGACCCAGGCGCACTGCAGGTCCCGGTGGGCGAGTCGCCGCGTCCGAGCAAACGCGAAAGTCTTCGGCGCTTACCTGCCGGCTGGAGCGGGTGAAAAGCGGCCGTCTGGCGTCAGGACCGGCTGGCGGCTCAGAAAGCCTGGGGCGGAGGAGGAGAGGCGTCGGGTCTTCTGGCGGGAGCGCCGGAGGCGAGAGGGGCATCAGCGGGGGGCAGCGAGCGGCGTCCAGCCCGAGGAAACCGGGCAGGCCCGAGGGGGGGCGCGGGGCGGCCAAAGCCCCATCTCCGGCTCGCTCACACCGCGCCGGGCGCGGAAACGGATGAGCCCTCGGCCCGGCTCGGTGGCGCTGCTCCGCTCTCTCCCCGCCGGGCGAGCCCCTCCGCCGAAGGACCGAGCTTTCCTCCCGGCGGCGCGAAGATTCTCATCGCTGCCCCCAAACCCGCGACGCGGACACGGACAGGCGCCGCTCGGGCCCGAGGCTTCGCCGCCCGTGTGCAGGAAAGGCGCTCACGCGTCGCGGCGGGGAAGGGGTTGTCCGCTCGCCGCCCCGTCAGAGGGAAAAGGCCATCAACGGCAGCCCCCGCCTAGAGGGGAGGGGGCGGGGGTCAGGCGGGAAGGGTGCTCGGCAGCCCGCTGAGGCGGGAGGGGCCTTTCAGTTCAGCGGATGGGGAGCCCAACTCGCAGAAGTTGGGAAAGACTCGCCGCCCGGCTTCCCTGGACGGGGGTACTTTCTAACGAGGAGATTGTTAGTCCTCCTCCCCCCGCCCACTCCGAGGCTAGAAGGCTTCCTTTTTCACCAGAGGTTGTCGTCCATTCTTCCCTTTCCGGCCGCCTTCCACACCATCACCATCACAACAATTGATCGGCAGCACCCCCAGATGAGTGTTCATAAGGCGGCACCCTTCGCGTCGCCTACGTGAAAATCCGCAGCCTCCCTTGCTCCAGGGTCGACCCTAGGACGCGTGTCGGCCAGGCCGGGCGGGGCGGGCGTGGGTGCAGCAGCCCCGGTAGCAGGAATCTCACTGAGCGAGGCGCCTCCAGCTCCGCTCTCCACCCCACGCCCGAGGCCTGCCTACCGGCGCTGTTCGACCACAGCACTGCAGACGATGCCAAGTAGCACACTCACAAACGATGTCCTGGCCCCGAGGCGCATACAGCAAAGCCAAGAAGCCTAAGGTGGCTTGAAAATTCAGGGACTTCGGAGTCCCTTAGCTGGACCGTGAGTACGCCTAATCTGAAATCCTAGACACACTTGCTGGAGAGTCATTCCCGGTAGGGTTTTTTTTTTTAATTGCTTCGGAGTGCATACAGTCAAGTGAAGGGCTTTAGAGGGGAGAGTTCCTTCCAGATAAGGTTCTTTTCCCCAACCCGTCGGTTTTTTTTGTTCTTAACTGAAGGAAAGGCACTTTCCCGAGCGTACCCGCAACCGTTGCTGCAAAACGACGCGTCGTCTCCTCTGGGCGCTGGTGCAGCTCGAGGCGAAGTCCCGGCCCGGTCCCTGCAGGACGTGGGGAGGACGAGTGGCGGGACAGTCGTGGCAGAGAAGTCGGGACTCTCTCTCTCTCTCTTTCTGCCCCTGGGCAGAAGAGAAATATTAGGGGTGGACGCTTATAAAAGGAAGGAGGCAGGAAGGTCAAGACCATCAAACTCTGACCCCGGAATGACGGAACTTCTCAATTATCCGTTTTCCCCCGAAACTGCCACTTTCAAATACGATTAGCGTGTTTGATCTGGAAGCGAAAATGACTAAACTGATATTTCGGTACTTACTGTAAAAAGAGACTTAGAATAAATAAAGCAATGCGGGGGGGGGGGAGTTGAAGACAGGAGGAGGTCCGAAGAGGGCTCTCAATAGCAGGACCTTTGGAGATCCGTAATTCATGGGAAGTCCGAAGTTACCTGCCGACACGTGACACTATTTATTTGAGGGTCCTCTCGTCATCCCCGGGACAAACCCGGTGCGCTCGCCCTTCGCCGCCGTACTGTAGCTCGAAGCTTTGACTGGGAACGGGAACGCTCTGGATTTCTCATC